ATGATTCATGCCCAAATGATAGGTTATGGCTTAAAAAATGCTATAATGGCTAAAGATTCAAAAAATGATTTAATAACTACTTTAATTTGATTTAAAACTATTAATATAAAATGTTTAAACCACTGCCTGTGTCCATTTTCAACGCAAAAATACCCTAGAAATAGTCCATGTTAAAAACGTGCTAAAACATCATTTTCAGGTATTTAAATTTATTAAAACTCATGTGAAATTGAAGTTAAAGAAAGGTAAATTATTAATACAAATAAAACTTGCATTATTTTTGAACTGTTTTTTATAAATAACTTGATTAATTAATCTGAGATAAACAGTTCGTTTAGGCCACGCGGTAGCCATTTTGAGAAATCTCCGATTTAGCTCTAAGAAGTGACTGGGAAAGAAATTGAAACTGTATATCTTATGATGTACAGATTCCAGCAAAACTGCCCATCTTTATGTAAAAATGGACACAGTCACACAGAATCTAAAAATGTCATTTAATAGTATTTAAGTTCACTTTAAAAAGGAGATATTAAAGAAATTTACTTGGCATATGACAAATAGTGAAATTTATTACGCTCAATAAAGACCGCTATTCAATTTAGGCGTCGTTTGATAGAGTACCCTCTTTTGAATGACGAAGAGCGCATGTCATCAATTCTGAACTGCTAGAATCGCAATCAAAAAAATTAATTTATAATTCGTTATGAAACAAAACATTTTCACGAGTCCGCCGATCCCTCTGCGCACCAAACTGCGCAACTTTCGTTTTGACTTTGTTTACATTGGAGATCGTTATCTCTATTATTATGTTTTAAAACTTTATTTTTAGCCCTAGGTTTTTTTTTAGAGGGGTGGTAATGTAGTTTTTTTTTAATTGTTACAAGTAAAACACATTAAAACAGACCGTACTAATTCAAATGCCGCGCAACATCTACATATTATACATCAAAGTAATCAGGGATTGTTGAATAATATTAGAATACTGCTAACAAAATTAATAGTAGTAGTTGTTAGGTAAATGAAAACGATGGTATGTTTAAAGAAAGTGGCTATTCTATGAATAACGGTCCCAAATTATCGAGGCCGAAAATATACCCTAACAGGGCCTCAGTCACATGTCAATTGTGGACTTCCTGCAACTTAAATTGCGCACTTCCGGCGACTACGGCCACCGCCGAGATTATCTCCCACACCGCTATGTGTGGCATGGAGCGGGGCTAAATTAAATGGCTGGGACTCACGAGCAGCAGCTACCGCATCTCCTGCAGCTTCCTTCATTTTATTTGCTCATGAGTCCCAGCTATCTAGTTTAGCCCCGCTCCACGCCGCACATAGTGGATGTTGGAGACACTCTTGGCGATGGCGGTAGTCGACGGAGTCCACAACTGACATGTGATCAAGGCCCTATTAGGGTATATTTTCGGCCTCAATAATTTGGGACCGTTATTCGGAGGATTAGCCAATTCGGAATTAGTAAACTAAAATATTAATTTTTCTACTCACCGCTATGGCAATCAAAGTAAACTCAGTAAAATATATTTTCAATGAATCACAAATTAACACAAGCCACTTAGACTTGTCAGTTTTCTTTTTATCATATTTTGACTCCTCCCTCCCCCCCTTTCCCCCTCCCCAAGGTGACTGTCTCTTTCTGATGTTTGTCATAAAAAGCCTTCTACAAAACATTTTAATTGCTCATTTTGGCTGTCCAAGGAATAATAAGAATTCTTCTGTAAAATCACAGTTTTGGAGACCTCAAGAATTGGTTTGGCTTGTTTATTAATTGTCATGAATCACAGCCTTATGTCCCCCGTGTGGGTTCCGGGGCCCCATCGTCGGGAAAACAAGAATAGACCCACTGCCTCCCCAAAAGCATGTCGTAAGAGTCGACTAATTGGGGAGCTTCCTTTGAAGTCAGAGTGCATCTGCCGGAGAGTCCAAGGAATCAACAGTCTGTATTCAAAAGAATGCTTCTGTTAAAACTGATGCACATGCAACCACTCAGGTTCTGGAACAGGACTGCAGTTCAGTAGTGGACGAGCAACCAGAACTTTCCGCCAGAGTATACAGCTGGTGAACGCGAAGAAGAAGAAGAAGACAGCCTTATGTTAGAACTGGCTGTGTATAGCATGCAAGCGTTCTGTTTCTAACCTCCAGCATCATGGACATACTGCTTAAGATGTTCTTCATTTTATAAAATGCATTTTTCAAACCATATTGTATGACACCTCTCAGTCACAGTGACAAGAGTTTTGAGGATTATGTAGCAGTGTTCTTCAACTGGTGGACCATGGGTTTAAAAAGGATGAGAAACACGGTTATATCGAGGTAGTTACCCCCAGCTACTCACCTAAGTGGTCCCGGCCTGTGTTGGTAAACAGCATTTATTTAACATATTTACAGCTAAAAAACTTACTTCCTTAGCTTCCTAACAAACTTCCTCGTGTTATATGGCTCTGAAACTTGGAGCACAACTAAAAGAGATGAAGCCTTATCACAGGTTTTTGGAAACAGAATCTTTGGACCCATCAAAGATGCAAAAAGCGGTGAATGGAGAGTGAGAAGCAACAACAAAATTCATAATCTGTTTAAATCACCACTGGCATCATGAGAGCTAATAGACTAAAATGGTTGGGACATATTGAAAGAATGTCAGATGACAGAGAAGTAAAAACTGTATACACCAGGGAGATGAATGGTTGTAGACCACAAGGGAGACCAAGAAGACGATGGAGAGATAATATTTAGACAGACCTACAAACACTTGGTGTTACCAACTGGAAAGAGAAGGCCAGCCAGAGCGATGAATGGAGGTGGGTGATATCTGCAGCAATGAACCTCAAGGGCTCGGAATGCTGAAGAAGAAGAAGAAACTTCCTTAGCTAAACAACAATGCTGCTTCCTACACCCTGAGTATATATGTATGTGTGTGTGCACGCATGTGCATACATGCTTGCTTGCTTCCTTACTGTTACGTCTTTACTGATCTTCACTGTTAGGTATAACCCTGTCATCCACAGAAGACTAAATCCAGGCACTTCGGATTGGACACAGTTCCATAAATGCTGATAAAGGGCCATGTATGTCGTGACCTGTTCTTGAAGAGTAAAGTTAAATTCTATTGGTCGCAGTACTTAACAGGCCAGGGTATGAATATAGTAACTAAAAATAGCGTTTCAGGCTTTCCTTGTTTCCTCATTATCTTTTTAAAAACGGCTCTCCTCTAAACTTCTACCCCGGCATTATGGCGGCCGAAAAAATATCCTTACAGGGCTCAGTCCTATTAAAAATATGCGTACTTCGGGCGATGAACGAATCGCGGCAAAACTAGGATTACCTGACAATTTCAAGAGATGCAACACTGCATACGATAGTAGCAGACGATAATAGCGACCGTTGACACTTTCGAGCGTTTCTGCAGACGATACTAACAGACGATTCTAGCGACCATTGACAATTTCGAGACACGCAACATTAAGGACGATAAAAGCGGCATGGCGGGGAGATCACGTGCACCGACGCAGATTAGCGTCGTTGTTGGAGGCGCGGATGGGGGGCTAAACTAGGTGCCTGGGACTCACAAGCAAATTAATTGGAGGAAGTTGCAGGAGATGTGGTAGCTGCTGCTCGTGAGTCCCAGCCATCTACGCGCGGCACGGGGAATACGGTTGGCGGTGAGGCATAGTCACAGAAACAGGTCAGCAATTAACATATTGCTGAGACCCTGTTAGAGCATTTGTTTCATTATCCGGATCCGATCCTAGTTATGCCGCGATTCAATTGTAGCCGGAAGTTTGCATTTTTTTAATAGGACTGAGCTTCGTAAGGATATTTGTTTGGCGGCCAAAATGCGGGTGTAGAAGTTCAGAGGAGAGCCTTAAAAACTAAGTTGCTGTCACATTTTTCTGTAAGCATATTGTGTTTTTTTTTTTTTTTTTAAGGCCTCAGGGAATGAATTCCATTTAAGGTTTCAGTCTGTTCATGTTTGTTGATTACCCCTTTATATATCTTTATATACCCCTTTCCCCCCTCCCTTCCCCCACCTTTTCCCTTCCAAAAAAAATAGTTAAATGTAGATCAATACAATTTTTCTTTAACCCTCCCAGACCTGAGGCCCTGAACCTAACTGTCCCTATAACCTGAGCTCCTAGCCACTAACACGAAAAAACCAACATGATGTACAAAAAAATTAGTTACATGCAAACAAGTGGTTAGAATAAGATAAAACTTGGAGACATTGTAGAAAATAGGTTTACCTTTTATATAGCGCCAATCTTCCACCTTTGTGTGCTAATCCACCTAGTAGGATCAGTCTTGTTTCATAAAGTAAACACCAGATGTTGCTGTTTGAGGGACACGCCCCCTTCTTTTACTATGGATCTAGTTTTAAATCTATAATTTTCATAATTCTCCTCCTCACTCTAGCTTTCACTGACTGTGTCACTTCAATTGGGAACGCATTCTTCATGAACGTATTCACAGTCTGAATTAACAAAAGCATCGATCACCTGTTGGACTGAAAAGCCTAGACCTACGTCACTTTCTTGTCGAAGCCGCTCATTTCATTGAGAATTTTCCCAATTTTGTTCACATCAAACCACACAAAGAAATCTCAACACACGCGGGAAGTCATTCGCAATGACTAACAACAGCAACTGGCTGGTTATTTTAGTCTGTGATGCATATTTTTCACGTACTACGTAAATTACCGGAAAACGGGGCCAGCGGTATAGCGGCAGGTTAGGAAATTCTCGGTAAATTGCCAGCGGTCTGGTAGGGTTAAAATGTTTTAATGACCTGTTTAATATGGTTGTTTGTTTCAAAATAGTTTTTTCTTTGAATTCCCATAGCTTCGTAGCCCATTTTTTTTAAGTATCTGCAGTGCTAGATTCAAGAATATGCTGTTGAATTTTCATGTGTATTAAATGTAGGTGTTTACGAATACAACACACATAATATAATATCACCTTGTACACTGTAATTCACAGCTAACTACAAAGATGGCTGATAAATCAAGGCGAAGACATTCAAAACAAATGTTGTTATCTAAAGAAGTGGAGAAAGATGGAGTTTCTAATCCAACTTTGGTAAACAATTTTGTTTCCATATTTGTTATATATTTTGAGTTGTGGATTGTTTTGTTACACTGAAATTAAGTCTTTTTTTTTTTTCTATATATAATCAGAGAAAAATGAAGAGAAACACAATCTCTTTAAGATGAGGATTCATACACCTGTTTAGCTATTTCGGCAGTAATATAGATATTTAAAAAAAAAAGAGAAACACAATCTCTTTAAGATGAGGATTCATACACCTGTTTAGCTATTTAGGCAGTAATATAGATATTAAAAAAAAAAAGAGAAACACAATCTCTTTAAGATGAGGATTTCATACACAGTTTATAGGCAGTAATATAGATATAAAAAAAAAAAAACACAAAAGATGAGGATTCATACACCTGTTTAGCTATTTAGGCAGTAATATAGATATATAAAAAAAAAAGAGGTGGGGGAGGGAGGTTACTGATGGAGATATTAAAATACAAAAGGCACGACATTCATGAGACAGGAGAACAAGCTAAGCAAGAGACCAAGAGGCATTGTAGCCTGTTTGATGGGAGCAATTTTCTGCAAAGGGTCTACTACATTATGTTTTAGGTCATTAATTAGGGATGTTTCAAAGTCAGAGTGCATCTGCCTGAGAGCCAAGGAACCAACAGTCTGCATACAAATATGCCAGATTTATAAAACAGATGTGCACACAAAGCTCAATATCTGGAAGAGGACTAAAGTTGAAAAAAAAAATTTGACCAAAATATAGAAGTTCCCTTTTGGGTTTACAGCCAGTTAATGTGAAGAATAAGAATAAGAAGTAGTACCAAACAAATTCTGTCACAGAGCCATACTAGTTAGAAAAGCATCATTTTCCTTTAAATAATAGTAAAAGTAAAGGACCCTTTTCCAGGCCTTTAGGTGTATTAGGTATATAGGGCTAGACCTATATTTTTATAGACCAAATGGCACTTGGTGGACAATATGGTTAGCATCATGCCGGCTGCTTTTACTTCCCAGGACTGTACCTGGTACCCACTCAAGGCGGGGTCGACTTGGGAGCCAAAGTCATTTTTGAAAAAAAGTCCGGCCCCTGTCAGGACCTGAACCCTCGACCTTCAGATCCAAAGGCGACAGTCTAGCCGCTAGACCACGAAGGCTCCTCAATTTAATAATGCAGACACAAAAATATATAGTGGAACCTCGCTTAACGAGTATAATTCGTTCCAGAATCATACTCGTAAAGTGAAATACTCGTTATGCGAAACAATTTTTATCAAATAAATTAATGTAAAATACGATAATGCGTTCCATGTGAAAAAAATAGTCACAAAATGTTATGTATAACGTTTATTCAAAGAAAATTATATACATATTGTTAAGGAGAGTGAATCATCATTTCTTCCACCACGGAACGAACCCACCTGGAATGCAAATTCGATTTGCAGGGAAAAAAATCGAAATAATTATGAAACATACCCAATTATTTTTGACTAGAATGATGTTTTTGCCAACCGCGCTTCAAAATTTGGCAAAAATGCGACACCAGCATTATCATTTAATAAATTTTTAGCGTGCATAACCACTTCCTTATTAAGGTGATGCTTCTCAATGTAAGATGCAACAGTTTCCCATGTTTTCAGCATTTCTCTTTTTTCGCCAGAAGATTGTTGCTTTTCTGTTAACTCCTCCTCCTCCTCTGACAAATTTTCCTCCAAAACTTCTTGCTGTGAAACACAATGCAACTTCATAAGCTCTTCTGTGGTCAGCTCTTGGCTGTGCTCTTCCACAAGCTCTTCGATATCACTGTTATCCACCTCCAATCCCATGATAGTGGCCAAAGACATATTTTTTCAGAGAAGGACCAAACACTTCCTTGATCCACTCAGTAAAATGGTCACGTTTCACCCAAGCCTTCCTGTTGAAGGCTCGTGGAGTTCCTGATTGGTAAACAAGCAGCGGTTTAATTTTCAAATCGCCGCTTGCATTGGCACAAAATAGCAATATGAGACTGTCTTTCATCGGCCTGTGGCCAGGCAATGCATTCTCCTCTGCTGTTATATATGTTCGCTTCTGCATCTTTTCCAGAAGACACCTGTTTCGTCACAATTAAAAACCTGTTGCGGCAAGTAACCTTCAGAATCTTCCAGCTTCTTGAAATCACTGATGAAGTTCACTGCTGCTTTTTGTCAGAAGTTGCTGCTTCACCGTGCCTCACAATGCTGTGGATGCCGGTTCTACTCTTGAACGTCTCGAACCACCCACAGCTTCCCCTCTACTCGCCACTCGTTATGCGAAACATGGCTCGTTAAGAAAGTCATTCTTTCTACAATTTGTTTTGCTCATTATGCGTATAACTCGTTTTGAGAGGTGCTCGTTAAGCGAGGTTCTACTGTATTGCCCAATTTATTGACTTGCATGTTTAGCTGTATCTCCCCAGGTGCAGTACTATAGAGTTAAATAAATCAACATATAATAAAGGATCAAATAAATCTTTTTAATTGAAATACACAAAATCACATTGTCCAGCCACATTGTTCATCTTTTCACTGGAAATTCAAGAATAGTCTTGAGATTATCATGGCAGTTTCAAATTTACCATGTTCTTCCTGTTTATACAAAGTAGAAGAGTTTATTTCTTTTTACAGCTTCGGATGATTTCAGTAAACAGTTGAATAAATTGTACAATGTATTCTTTATGTCTACATTATTTGAATGTACAGTGGAAAAATATTTTGTATAATTGTTCTTGAACAGGATGAAGACATTGCAACACATTACCAAGCATTTTCACAGTCTCAAACAGAAGGGGAAACATCCACTGCTGAGGTAAAAAGATTCTTGCATGTTCTAGAAGATGTGTATTCACATGATATATTTATTGATGGAAGCACTAGCAGATAAAACCCATCATCTTTCTCTGTCTTCCGCTTGTTGAATGTATGATAACTTAGTTCTGTCCATTTCTTGATGTTGTCATTCCAAGTTCTTCTTTGCCCTCTTCTTCTTCGACTACCCCCAAATGTTCCTTGAAGTAGTCTTTGCAATTGAATCATGTCTCACCACGTGCCCAAACCAAGCTAGCTTGTGATGTTTCACCACTGCCAAAAGAGGCTCCTGATGTCCCGCAAATGTGCATATTTTTGTCTCTGACATATTAAAAAGTTTTATGCTCTAAATAACTAATTTGTAAAATGTGACTTACCTAGTAAAATATAAATGTGTATAATAAATGTATGCAGCTAGTTCATTTCAGAGATGTAGGTAGCTGAACTGTTAGTATAGTCTGATATGGATCCATATGCAAATAAAACAGCCTTGCTGTAAACAGGCACAACACAATTAGGTCACTCAGGCAAATGAAAAGAAGAAGAAGAAGAAGCTTAATGTTTGCAGTTTTGATGCCTGAGAATCAGCTGTTTTGTAGATGCTGATTCCTGCACGGTCAAGGTGACAGATTTATATTTTGGTGGTTCACTTTTTGGACTACATTTGAAAAGCTGGTTTTCAAATTCTTTGTTGAATTCACAGGTGATGGAAGAAAATGAACAAGCTGTAGTTCTGGAAGGAGAATTGAAGTCTAGACACAGGCGCCGTCGACGAGAAGTAAGTGTCAATGTGTATCACAGCTGAGTTGAGTCAAGAATTAACATCACAGCCCTCGAGGCATTTCCCACGCGGGCTCCATCCTCATCTTCTGTGACCAGGACAGAGTTCCAACACTGATCATACCGGTCACAATCTGGTTATGTGTCCGTCTTGCCTTTCCTCTGAGTAGGCCAGACCCTCTGGTTACACTCAGGTGCCTCATTCTCTCCAGGCCATAATAATCTTCTTTCTCTACTTATTCCGTAGCTTGTTCCTAAAGGGTCTTGAACACATCTGCCTTGTCATGTATCAATTCACCACCCAGTGGTGCAGACAGTGTGTATCACACTGTCAGTCTGGATAGAGCAATGGATTTCAACCACAAAAGTTTCACGGGGAGGGTAGGGGGGAAGAGGGTCAGGGGGTGGATTAGGCTATTTTGAAATTGACTACATTTGTATTTGTAATAATCTGTTATACTAAGACTTATTTGTTTAGCTTAATCATAAATACAAATTTTTGTTAGAAACTATTTAGAAATACAAAAGCCAAGGATATTTGCACTTGTACACCTATTGTTACAAATCTCAATAATAGGATAACACAATAACACATACATTTAATTATAGAATAATCTGGGTGGCTTGAGGGTCCTGCCATATATTCAGGAATAAAAAGCACAGGAGTGGGGGAGAAGAAAAAAAGGTTGACTGCCACAAGGCTAGAGTGAGTGATTATCTTAAATTGATGTCATAGTACTGAGGGCACATCTGTGTGCTATTTACCTGGTTTAAATGATTCATTAATTAAATTTGTCATAGCAGTTAACTGTGTTTGCTAAGCTTATACATAATAGCATCTTTTGAAACAAGAGCTGAAGAGGTACCACAATGCAGGGGTGTTTTTACAAATTAAATTGATCCAGGTTCCGAAGTCAACCCTGCCATAAATGGTTTGATAGTGACCACATCGCTTACATACTAGTACATATCATTGGGTGCAGAAAAGTTCTTTTTCACTTTATGAAACCCAGTGGTATTAACTGTTTCAGTCCCAAACAACTATTCCCCATGTTTATCGAGCATCATATAAAATGCTGTATTTTATTTAAGTTGAATGAATGTTGAATTAAGAATCGACATCACAGCACTTGGGTTCCAATTTCGATGGTACCAGTAACCGTCTGATTGTATATCCGTCTCATCCTTCCTCTGGGTGTTTTATTTAAGTTTTGGTCAGCGAATACTAAATAAATCTGGCAACCACAGGGGTATCTTTCATTCATTTTGGATTCCTACAACACAGCAAGTGGTTAGCGTATTTTCAAGGCAATACATAATGAAAAAAATAATGATTAATGTACAGGATATTATGGGACTGAAGGAGTTAATTTCTATTGATTTGTAAGTTTTTAAATGTGTACATCATACATAAAAAAATTTTTTTGAAAAATATTTTTTACATAAATTGTACATTATATTCTTTTAGGAGATTTTGAAATTAATTATCTGTGCAAAATGTTAGGGATATTTTAAATGTAATAATTAAAAATATAAATTTGATGTTGATTTTGTGCTCAGTTATCGAAACTGGTGTCCCCAAAAGATGATGTGAGTGGACAGCTGAAGACCATGAAATTAGACAGCCGAAAGAAGGTGGAAGAAACAGAGCAGGAGGATGAATTGTTGAAGGCATTGGCTGAAACAGGTCGGTTATTGAGATTAAATGACTCTTTGTTCCGGCTGCCATCATCACAGTCATAATCATTTCTTCTTCTTCTTCATATTCAGTGGCTGTAAACTCCAGCGGAAAGTTCTGGTTGTTCATCCACTTCTGGTCTTTGGTCTTGTTCCAGGACTTGTGTTTTGCATGCACAACTGTATTACAAATTTAGCTTATAGTATGCAGACTGTTGGTTCCATGCCTCTCATTGCGTTTTACAACATATTTGTTAGAGAAAAAATGAGTCTGTTCTTTTGTTCTTATCTTCTTCTTCTTCTTTTGTCATTTCACTGATACCAGGTTGTAGCCCAGTGTTGTGGTTTTGTCCTCTCACTGATACCAGGTTGTAGCCCAGTGTTGTGGTTTTGTCCTCTCACTGATACCAGGTTGTAGCCCAGTGTTGTGGTTTTGTCCTCTCACTGATACCAGGTTGTAGCCCAGTGTTGTGGTTTTGTCCTCTCACTGATACCAGGTTGTAGCCCAGTGTTGTGGTTTTGTCCTCTCACTGATACCAGGTTGTAGCCCAGTGTTGTGGTTTTGTCCTCCCACTGATACCAGGTTGTAGCCCAGTGTCGTGGTTTTGTCCTCTCACTGATACCAGGTTGTAGCCCAGTGTCGTGGTTTTGTCCTCTCACTGATACCAGGTTGTAATCCAGTGTTGTGGTTTTGTCCTCCCACTGATACCAGGTTGTAGCCCAGTGTCGTGGTTTTGTCCTCTCACTGATACCAGGTTGTAGCCCAGTGTCGTGGTTTTGTCCTCTCACTGATACCAGGTTGTAATCCAGTGTTGTGGTTTTGTCCTCTCACTGATGCCAGGTTGTAGCCCAGTGTTGTGGTTTTGTCGTCTCACTGATACCAGGTTGTAGCCCAGTGTTGTGGTTTTGTCGTCTCACTGATACCAGGTTGTAGCCCAGTGTTGTGGTTTTGTCCTCTCACTGATACCAGGTTGTAGCCCAGTGTTGGGGTTTTGTCCTCTCACTGATACCAGGTTGTAGCCCAGTGTTGGGGTTTTGTCCTCTCACTGATACCAGGTTGTAGCCCAGTGTTGTGGTTTTGTCCTCTCACTGATACCAGGTTGTAGCCCAGTGTTGGGGTTTTGTCCTCTCACTGATACCAGGTTGTAGCCCAGTGTTGTGGTTTTGTCCTCTCACTGATACCAGGTTGTAGCCCAGTGTTGTGGTTTTGTCCTCTCACTGATACCAGGTTGTAGCCCAGTGTTGGGGTTTTGTCATCTCACTGATACCAGGTTGTAGCCCAGTGTTGGGGTTTTGTCATCTCACTGATACCAGGTTGTAGCCCAGTGTTGGGGTTTTGTCATCTCACTGATACCAGGTTGTAGCCCAGTGTTGGGGTTTTGTCATCTTACTGATACCAGGTTGTAGCCCAGTGTTGGGGTTTTGTCATCTCACTGATACCAGGTTGTAATCCAGTGTTGTGGTTTTGTCCTCTCACTGATACCCGGTTGTAGCCCAGTGTTGTGGTTTTGTCCTCTCACTGTTACCAGGTTGTAGCCCAGTGTTGTGGTTTTGTCCTCTCACTGATACCAGGTTGTAGCCCAGTGTTGTGGTTTTCTGTATTTGTCTTGCACTTCTCGGGTGGTTTGGGTGATGGGCTTGTTCATATTTTTGCAGGTTTCTGCTACACCATTTATCCACCTCTTTCTTAGTCTTCCTCTCAGCTTCCACCCAGATGTTCTGCTGTTTAAAAAGTCTCAAAGTAGAAATAAAGATGCTGTTAATCATTTGCGGTTTTCAAATAGCTATCTTGAACGTTGTTCTATCTTGTAGACCTCTAATGTTGCCTGTACGATGTTTGCAATAGTTTATCCCAAACGTATTCATTTGTTGTTTTTTTCCTTACTAAATTGGGACCCTGGAACCCACACAGGGAACAGTCATATCAAACATAAGTCTTTACTGACCGTATTTACTGCTTTTGAGGGTGTGTAGGACTGGAGGGTTTTTGCCTATTGATTGTAAGCCACAGGTCCAGTGTAGTTGCCATAAACTGTGCAGGCTATAATTGTTGTACCCTGACAGAGCAAAAGTGTCCATTGTCTCACATGATTTGAACTCAGATCCTGCATGAGAGCTCAGCATTGTAACTGCTTGGCCAGTTACTTCTCAAGATCACAGTCATATCTTCTTCTTCTGCCTGTCTAACTCCCAGTAGAGCATAAGCCCTCAACCAACTCACGCCAAGTCATTCTGTCCTTCGCTGTCGCGTGCAGCTCTCCCCATCTCCTCTCCATCCTTTTAACTTCACTCTCCAGCTTCCTTCTCCACTAACTGGTGCCTGTGTAGAACAGAGGGAAATAAATGGTATGATAGGATCACTAATGTAGAGCTTTGGGAGAAAACTAAGAGAACTGAACAAGTTCCAATGGATCAAGAGGTGAAGAAAAGACACTAGCGTTGGACCCACGTTGAGAAAACCTGAGAACAATATAACTAGAGTGTCCTTGCACTGGAACTCACAGGGGCATACAAATAAAGGAAGACCACAGTCACATTTAATCATCATCATCATCATCATGACATCTTCACTGTCTCATCTCATTATTACCACCATCATCAACAGCACCCCCATATTCAATAGCACCAGCATCATCAATACCAGTACTACCTACCAGATGCAGTACCTGCTGATACATGAAGCTCTGTTTCAGGAGTAGCTGCTGCTGCTGGGGAGACATTTTCAGCTGGTACCATGGCTGAGCCGTTTCAAGCTGAAGAGGATCAAGTGACTTCTGTGGTTTTAGAAGGGGAACCAGCTTCACCATCTCAGAGTAAGCTATTTAATACAGTACTATTTGTATAATGCTAACTATAACATAACAAATGACTAGAAAGCTCAAGGCAGTGCTAAATACAACACAGACTGTGACTAGAAAACTCAACAGACAAGACAACAGAACTTCTAAAAAACCAGGATCAACATAAAACCAAGAAGCTTATGTTTGGGAGAAATATGAATATTTTAAATAAATAAACATGCTAATAAAATTAAATAAAGCTGTGTAGAATATTGATGCCTCGAGCACTGACAACGTGAGAACTATGAATAAAACGCTTTTTTAAAAGCAGCAGCTGGTTCGATCATGGGAGCAAGATTTGATAGCAGTAACTGAGATATTGCTTTCGCCTTGGTGATCAGAGCTATTGAAATGGAGGGAGCCTCGTCACAAAATCCACAGAATATTCACAGAAGTGATCGGCTAGCTTCCTATCAGTTTCCCCAATATATGCTTTTCTACATTTTTTTTTTGCAGTAGATGCCATGATTCACAAGTAAATGCTTCTCTGATATGAAAAATCTTTTTGGAAAGCAGACCGAAGGGGTTTGGACCACAAGTGGACATGTTTTAAATCATTTTATATTGGGGAAACTGGTAGGAAGTTAGCAGATTGTTTCCCACTCACAGTTGTGTTTGGTACTCTGTTTATAAAGACTTTGCTCCGTTGAGCTTACTAGTCACATTTTGTGTTGTATTTAGTACTTTCTGTCAGTAGCTCGACTGCAATCACCTCCTATTTATGTCATCACTTATACGTATATAGATATATATATATTTCAATTATTGAAGCTGTTCATATGCACTATTTCCAGTTGTCGTGGCCACCCATTGTAGTTGACATCGGCATCCATTCTATTCAGCATTTTCACCCATTCCATTTGACATGACCACATATTTGGCAAATCATCCAATCATAATGATAGTACTGAGTAACTTTCTTGGTTTCAGTTTAACTGTTAGAGCTTGCTAGTTTATGACATGTTTTCATTACTTTATCTGTTTGTTACATTCCATCTGTTTATTTGTTGTCTCTGTTTATAACATCCCTACAGAAGAAGTGGAAGAGAACAAGCCCATCACAGAGGTTCTAAGATCCACCATTAGAGAACGATTGAAGAGTAGATTAGCAAAAGCAAAGGTTGTACAGCAATTATCAGTTCTTTCGTAATATCCTACCCTAGATGATGTCACAGGACAGTCCAACATTTTAGAGGGTGGTAAGACTGGGGTTCCCGGCTTTATGATGCTTTTAACGACCCTAAATCATCTAGAACTGGCCTTAACCCTAACCCACCTATGTCTCTTGAGAGAGTGCAGCCTAGGTCCCACGACTGCATGCAGCTTATCTACCACCCCCTGAAATATTTTACTGTCCTGTGACCTGTGGATTTCCCCTATTTGGGGTAGGATATTAAGAAAGCACCCAGTTATATCTCTCTATTTTTTTAATTTTCTTGTCAGTTGTTCTCTTTTTAGTCTCTCTTTTCATTGGTCTTGTTATTTTATTCATCATCATCATCCTCATCTCATAACACTGCGTGTCGTTGGGTCACCAGTCACTGTTGACTGTCCCTATCAGCTCCCTCCGCCTTTGACAGTCAGATTCAAGTGATGTCATGGTTGCATGTCCAAGGCCTGTACAGTCAGTCAAGTTATGTGTCCAGGTTTATCTTGGTCTGCCTTTTCTCCTCTTTCCCTCTACTGAGCCCTGCAGTATTGTTTTTGAAAGGCCGTTAGATCTTATTACATATCCATACCATTGCATTTTCCACTTCTTCACTACAATTAAAGGAGGTTCATAGTTGCCAATCTGGTGGACGATATATGGCGAACCTCATCATTTGTGATGTAGTCTTTCTATGATATGCCAAGAATATTTCTGAAAGGTCACATTTTTACAATGCTTGTGTCTTGTCAAGGTTCGGCTGTTAAGGTCCATGTTTCACAGCTATAAGTATACATATTAGTTCTTTGCTCATTAAATGGTGTATCTTTTTTTTTTTAAACTCAGTATTACTGTAACTTTTTTTAAGCCCCTTCATATTTTCTCACTTTTTTCATGGCTGCTTGTTAAAAGGTTCTCCTGTACTGTGTGGTTTGGGTCGGTGTCAATGACTTCATCAGTCCTGTCCAAAAAAAAACGTATGAGGGGGCTGAAATGAAAACTTTAAAGAACACTTGGAATTACAGTAACCAAGCTGTTGTCTTGTAACCTGTTAGTAGCATTGTTGTGGATGTCAAGAGTGTTAAGCACATGACCTCACAGTGGGGACAAACATGGTGATGTCATAATGATAGTTAAAGATGACCGCCCCACTTTTGATCTTCACCAAAGAAGAGCAGAGTTCTGTTATCCATTTTTTAAAATAAAAATAGTGAAGGTGTGAAACCTTTAGAAATTCATCAGCGAGTGAAGGTCCAGTATGATGATGCATGCATCTGTCAGTCAAGCAAGTGTTTGAGTGAGGCAGGAAGTTTAAAAATGGCATGACTTCTCCGACAGACTTTGCCTGAGCTATACATATGGTTTTCATTTGAAGTTCCCTCGTATATCATGTCACACAGCGCAGGGAATCCTGTTCTCTCCACAGCCCTCTTGGTCTCTTCTTGATAAGATTAACCACTCTGCTGTTCTGTCTGCCATTCTTCTTCTTCTTTAATCACTCTGTGTTTTTATATATAACTCTTAGTTATCATTCTTCATGGTTGTCACAGTGTTCTGTAGCCCCCTAAATATCATAATGTGACCAGGGGCAATCTTTCTTTGACTGCATAATTTTTTTTGTAATAAAAGTTTTTTTTTAAAACTCCTTTAGTCCCAGGGGGTTTAGCATCAGAGGCCCAAATGATAGTCAAGAGGGACGTAAAAGCGGCACATCTTGCGTTCATTGGGCTTCTAGGTAGGAACATATGAATGCATGATGTGCTCCTTGGGACTGAAAGAGTTAAATTCAATTCATCTACTGTATATAAAAGATGAATTTGATGAAAGTAGTAAACTTATGAGAAGAATTTGACATTGATGGTCAGTGTTTTTGTGTGTGTTTTGTGTGTGTGTGTGTGTGGGGGGGGGGTGTGTTTGCACATGTTATCAGAAGTAGTGGACTTGAGCACTCGGTGAAGACTGTCAAGATTGATTAGAAAAGAGCACTGGAAGGCAGAGAGATAAATACCTGGATGGCTTGGCCATATGGATGGGGCAAGACAAAGACCTGATCCGTGATTCTGATGATCATGTTAGATGGCAAAACATGACAACCTACACCTACCTGCACAGCACATGATGATAATGATGATGAGTGTAGAGTGAATTGACCATTTGACCTTGGTGACCCTTGAGGAAACAAGGCGCAACATCCAGGAATTCCTAAGTCGATCTTTCCTCATTGCATATAATATTTATAAATTACAGTAAGTTCTTCGGTATGACTACTAAAAAGTTTGGGGTCTGTAGACCTCCACAAATAAGAGGAGTCCCCACAGATCTTAGCTAATTGGGAACCACTGATGTGTATTATAGATTAAAGATATGTTTTTCCTCAGGCCTTGTAGTTACAAGGTGAATTTCAAACCCTGTGCCTTAAATTATACGAAATCTTCCCTGCGTGTTCTGGTTCTCTATTTCGGAGAACAAAGATTAGACCCACTGGCCCCTCAACTAGCATTTCATAGGAGGCGACTAATTAGGAGTGTTTCTTTCACAATTGGAAAGTATCTGGCTGAGAAGCAATGAACCATCTGCATTCAAATAAGATAGATCTGTAAAATGAATGCATGCAAAATCTCAAGTTCTGGTTCAAGACCAAAGTCCAGCAATGGAAGAAAAAGCAGAACTTTCTGTCAGAGTTTATAATAAGTTAACCCTAAAGAAAAAGAAGAAGAAGATAAGAAATCAACATCAGACATTTGTTCATGCTAGTTTAATGCATTTCCTTTCACAGGAAGAAGCTGCAACAGAGCTGGAGCAGGAAGAGAGGGATGAAAGGAAAAGAACACTTCGAGGGAAAAAGGAACCCAGATTTGAAGAGGTGAATCTAAATAATATTTTGGTTGTAAGAAAAATAAAAAGCTATCTTTCAGAAAAATTCATGGCATATCATGCAGAGACCACATGCCAAATGATGAAGTTCGCTGTTTAATTGCCCAGCATATTGGTAACGATAAATCTCTTTTAAATACAGTTTAAAGGCAGAAAATGCAATCGTACAGACATGTAGTAAGATCTAATGGCCTCTCAAAAACAATACTACAGTGCGCAGCAGAGGGGAAAAGGAGAAGAGGCAGACCATGAAAGACCTGGATACAGGACTTGACAGACTGGACAAGCCTTAGACAGGTCACCATAAAGTTCATCACATCTGACCATCAAAGGTGGAGGGAGCTGATCAGACAGTCTACAGCAGCTGGTGACCCAACGACACTCAGCATCCATCAGCTCATGAGAGGCTGCCAAGAATCTTCTCGCCTTGTCTTCTTCCATCTCTCCTTCCAGAAATGTTTCTGATGGTCACAGCATGTTCCACTAATATACCCCTCACTTCCAACCCCTCTCCCCACCCCCTCCCCCCAAAAAAAAGAATTAATGACTGTCTTTTTCTGATGTTTGTGATCAGTTGTTTTTGTGCCCCTACCTCTTTCATAGCTGTATAGTTATCATTATCTTGGGCCCTGCCAAGTAGCACCTTTGATGGTCTGGATCAGTGTTCATGTGTGCAGGCAGATCTTCACCTTTGATGGCCTGGATCAGTGTTCATGTATGCAGGCAGATCTTCACCTTTGATGGCCTGGATCAGTGTTCATGTGTGCAGGCAGATCTTCACCTTTGATGGCCTGGATCAGTGTTCATGTCTGCAGGCAGATCTTCACCCTTGATGGCCTGGATTAGTGTTCATGTTTGCAGGCAGATCTTCACCTTTGATGGCCTGGATCAGTGTTCATGCCTGCAGGCAGATCTTCACCTTTGATGGTCTGGATCAGTTTTCATGTGTGCAGGCAGATCTTCACCTTTGATGGCCTGGATCAGTGTTCATGTCTGCAGGCAGATCTTCACCTTTGATGGCCTGGATTAGTGTTCATGTTTGCAGGCAGATCTTCACCTTTGATGGCCTGGATCAGTGTTCATGCCTGCAGGCAGATCTTCACCTTTGATGGTCTGGATCAGTGTTCATGTGTGCAGGCAGATCTTCACCTTTGATGGCCTGAATCAGTGTTCATGTTTGCAGGCAGATCTTTACCTTTGATGGTCTGGATTAGTGTTCATGTTTGCAGGCAGATCTTCACCTTTGATGGCCTGGATCAGTGTTCATGTTTGCAGGCAGATCTTTACCTTTGATGATCTGGATCAGTGTTCATGTGTGCAGGCAGATCTTTACCTTTGATGGTCTGGATCAGTGTTCATGTCTGCAGGCAGATCTTTACCTTTGATGGCCTGGATCAGTGTTCATGTTTGCAGGCAGATCTTTACCTTTGATGGCCTGGATCAGTGTTTATGTTTGCAGGCAGATCTTTACCTTTGATGGTCTGGATCAGTGTTTATGTCTGCAGGCAGATCTTTACCTTTGATGGTCTGGATCAGTGTTCATTTGTGCAGGCAGATCTTCATTTTTGATGGGCTGGATCAGTGTTCATGTGTGCACTCAGATCTTAATTTTTGATGGCCTGGATCAGTGTTCATGTTTGCAGGCAGATCTTCATTTTTGATGGTCTGGATCAGTGTTCATGTGTGCAGGCAGATCTTCATTTTTGATGGGCTGGATCAGTGTTCATGTGTGCACTCATATCTTCATTTTTGATGGCCTGGATCAGTGTTCATGTGTGCAGGCAGATCTTCATTTTTGATGGTCTGGATCAGTGTTTGTTTGCAGGCAGATCTTCACCTTTGATGGCCTGGATCAGTGTTCATGTTTGCAGGCAGATCTTCACCTTTGATGGCCTGGATCAGTGTTCATGCCTGCAGGCAGATCTTCACCTTTGATGGTCTGAATCAGTGTTCATGTGTGCAGGCAGATCTTCACCTTTGATGGCCTGGATCAGTGTTCATGTGTGCAGGCAGATCTTCACCATTGATGGCCTGGATCAGTGTTCATGTGTGCAGGCAGATCTTTACCTCTGATGGTCTGGATCATTGTTCATGTCTGCAGGCAGATCTTTTCCTCTGATGGTCTGGATCAGTGTTCATGTCTGCAGGCAGATCTTTTCCTCTGATGGTCTGGATCAGTGTTCATGTCTGCAGGCAGATCTTTTCCTCTGATGGTCTGGATCAGTGTTCATGTCTGCAGGCAGATCTTCACCTTTGATGGCCTGGATCAGTGTTCATGTGTGCAGGCAGATCTTTACCTTTGATGGTCTGGATCAGTGTTCATGTCTGCAGGCAGATCTTTACCTTTGATGGTCTGGATCAGTGTTCATGTTTGCAGGCAGATCTACACCTTTGATGGTCTGGATCAGTGTTCATGTTTGCAGGCAGATCTTTACCTTTGATGGTCTGGATCAGTGTTCATGTGTGCAGGCAGATCTTCATTTTTGATGGGCTGGATCAGTGTTCATGTGTGCACTCAGATCTTCATTTTTGATGGCCTGGATCAGTGTTCATGTTTGCAGGCAGATGTTTGCAGGCAGATCTTCACCTTTGATGGCCTGGATCAGTGTTCATGTTTGCAGGCAGATCTTTACCTTTGATGGTCTGGATCAGTGTTCATGTTTGCAGGCAGATCTTTACCTTTGATGGCCTGGATCAGTGTTCATGTTTGCAGGCAGATCTTTACCTTTGATGGTTTGAATCAGTGTTCATGTCTGCAGGCAGATCTTCACCTTTGATGGTCTGGATCAGTTGTGCTGATTTCTCTTGTGTTCCAGGGCCTCTTTGGGGGAAACAAGGAATAAACCCACTGACCTTTAACACACATATGTGTTTGTGTTCCTGCGTCTGTATGTGTGTGTGTTCGCTTTTGTGTTTTTGCATGTGTGTGTGTGTGTCTGCAGGTTTGTGTGTCTGCATGTCTGTTTGTGTGTTTTTGTCTGTGCGCAGATGTGTATTTGTGTGTGTGACTGCGTTTGTCTCTTGGGTGTGTCTGTGTGTGCATGTGTGTATCTGTATGTATATATGTGTGTATGGAATGTGCTGTATGTGTGGGTAGGTAGGTATGTATGAGGGTGAATGGGGTTGTGTTTATATTTGTGTGTGTGTAAAGGTATGTGGGTGTGTATATATATGCGTGTTTAAGTGAGTGGGTGTGTGTGTGTGCGCTAGTGTGCGCATGTATTTTACCACCCATGTTTTTGTGTTTTTTTCCCTTAAAATTCATAATATGCATATTATCATATGAAATAACATGCTCATTGATAAAACACAACTGCCGTGTGAAAGGCGGATGTTTAGAAGTGCCGAATGTCAGACGAGCCTGCATGCCCAATTTGTGACCCTTTGAAAATTAAGTTCGTTCGTTCGTTTATGTCATAAGAGTAAACTAATTAAGGGTTTTTCCTTTGAAATCAGAATGCATCTGCCCGAGAAGCGAGGAACCAACAGTCTGCTATAAATAAGCCAGATTTTGTCAAATTAATTTGCATGCAAAAAAGCCAATCTCTTTTTTAAATTGTAATGTTCGATGCCACAGTCTTAGGTGCACATCATCATTCCTTTTGGTCTTTTCCTCTCCTACTAATAATCTCTCTTGTCGACACAGTGACCTATGAATTATCTCTTCTCATCAGAGGACTAAAGAAAATGATTTGTCTCTTTCTAACATTGTGTAGACTTCTGATTTAATTAGCTTTCTTTTTCCATAAAATATTATCATTTGATCCTTCTCCAGCTTGATGAGAATGAGATGCGAACTCTTCAGGAAAGGTCGGCCAGATTTCAGGAGATGAAACGTGAAAGAGCCAAACAGCAGGAAGCTGTAAGTTGATTTCTTTATTTTATATTTCAATTTTCTGCTTCCTTTTGCACTTCAACTGGTGTCTGCTTCCTTTAGTAATATTTGTGTTTGATATTTTATTTAGTAATGTTTTTATTTCATTGCCATGTTTTTGTTTTATTTAGTGTTGTTTCCTTTTCTGTTTCATTTAGTATTGTTTCCTTTCCTGTTTCTGTTAGTATTGTTTCCTTTCCTGTTTCATTTAGTATTGTTTCCATTCCTGTTTCATTTAGTATTGTTTCCTTTCCTGTTTCATTTAGTATTGTTTCCTTTCCTGTTTCATTTAGTATTGTTTCCTTTCCTGTTTCATTTATTATTGTTTCCTTTCCTGTTTCATTTAGTATTGTTTCCTTTCCTTTTTCATTTAGTATTGTTTCCTTTCCTGTTTCATTTAGTATTGTTTCCTTTCCTGTTTCATTTAGTATTGTTTCCTTTCCTGTTTCATTTATTATTGTTTCTTTTCCTGTTTCATTTAGTATTGTTTCCTTTAGTAATATTTATGTTTCCCAGCCCTCTTCCCCCCCCCCCCCCCTCACCCCCTGCTTTTTTTCCTTATGGGTTACACCAATGTGCCATTATATTGATCAGTTTCCTGTTACATTTAGTATTGTTTCTGTTTCCTGTAATAATGTTTCTGTTTCCTGTTACATTTAGTATTGTTTCTGTTTCCTGTTACATTTAGTAATGTTTCTGTTTCCTGTAATGATGTTTCCGTTTCCTGTTACATTTAGTAATGTTTCTGTTTCCTGTAATAATGTTTCTGTTTCCTGTTACATTTAGTATTGTTTCTGTTTTCTGTTATCATTTAGTAATGTTTCTGTTTCCTGTTACATTTAGTAATGTTTCTGTTTCCTGTTACATTTAGTAATGTTTCTTTTTCCTGTTACATTTAGAAATGTTTCTGTTTCTATTTATAATTAGTAATGTTTATGTGTCCTTTAGTAATGTTTATGTTTCCTGTTACATTTAGTATTGCTTCTGTTTCCTGTAGTAATGTTTCTGTTTCCTGTTATATTTAGTAATGTTTCTGTGTCCTGTAGTAATGTTTTTGTTTCCTGTAGTAATGTTTCTGTTTCCTGTTTTATTTAGTAATGTTTCTGTTTCATGTAGAAATGTTTTTGATTCCTGTTATAATGTTTCTCTTTCCCGTTTCATTTAGTAATGTTTCTATTTGCCATTTCTTTTATAAATGTTTCTGATTCTTGTTAAATTTAGTAATGTTTCTGTTTCCTGTTACATTTAGTAATGTTTCTGTTTTGTGTTAAATTTAGTAATGTTTCTGTTTTCTGTTTCATTTAGTAATGCTTCTGTTTCGTGTAGTAATGTTTCTGTTTCCTGTAGTAATGTTGTTCTTTCCCATTTCCTTTAGTAATGTTTCTGATTCCTGTTACATTTAATAATGTTTCTGTTTCCAGTTTCATTAAGTAATGTTTCTGTTTCATTTAGTAATGTTTCTATTTCTTTTTCATATATGATTTTGTTTCCTCTTTATCCTATGTGGGTTCCGCGACCTCATTTTGAAGAGAAAAGAGTAGACGGACTGTCCCTTGAAAGCATTTCATAAATGTGACAAATTAGGATTTGCTGAATTTGATGTTTTGGGTTGAAAGGCACATATATCGTAAACATAGTTGTAAACCACACTACATGCCTACCAAAAAGAAAAAAAAAAGAAGTTTTATCATAGGGAGACTGAGCTGAAAGAAACACACCCTTTGCAGTGAAGTGGTTCCTCGTGACTTAAACTGAGCATCAATATTATTCTGTCATTTTCACTTCCACAGCTGTCATTCATGCCTACAACAGAGCAAGCCTTTGATTTCTTCACACGAGAATGGGAACCAGAGCCAGAGGAGATGTCAGAGACAGAGAGGCGGGAAGCAGAAGAGGCCAAGAGACTTGAACAAGAGGAGGCCGAGGCTACAGAGAAAGCAGAAGGGGAGGAACCAGAAACTGTGAGAGTGTTTTTTTAATTTGTTTATGTTAAACTGCCATTGGATTTTTTAACGTGCGCAGCCATGCACACGGGCATCCAATCTCACTACCCAGAGAACAGGAGGAATTATTAGAAGTCCAAGTCCACGAGAAAAAATCCCAGCCCCCATTGGGGATTGAACCTAGAACCTCCAGCACTCGAGGCGGACACCATGCCCTGAGACCACGCAGCCCCCCCTAGACTAAAAGATAAAACAAGAGAGTGTCAACTGAAGCACTCATAAACAGAATGTAAAATACATTCATGCAGCAAAACTATAGCAGTTAAACAAGTAGGTTCCGTTTGGGTTCCCAGGCCTGGTTTTGGGCACTAAAGAAGGATGTGGATTCATTTCATGTCATTGCTGTTCAATTACGAGTGCAGTTTTTACAGAAATCCTTGGGGATCATCAATAGAGCTGTGAGTTTGTGCTGTGTGTGACACTCTTGGCAGGTGGCTAGTTATTCTGTAGAGAGAGACCAAGCCATGCCTGGGGCAATGAAGTCAGTTCTCTCAAATTTAACTTTAATTTTCCCTAGGAGATCTGCATAACTGTTTTAAAGGGGGTCTGTGATATCATTTAGGGAAAACCTTCAGACCTCTTTGTGATTCTAATATAACCGCCTCTAAAAAAAAGATTATTAAATAGTGTGGGGTTGGTGGCAGACTTTTGAAAATAAGAAGGGGTCTGCAAGTCTTATCTAATTAGGAATCAGGTCTTATCTAATTAGGAAGCAGGTCTTATCTTATCTAATTAGGAAGCAGGTCTTATCCCTTTGTCTTGTAACAAGTCAGTATTGTTGTTAAGAATGTCAAGAGTGCTCTGCACCCTATCATCAGGATGCAGACACACATGGTGATGTCATAATGACAGTTTAAAGATGGCTGCCCCACTTTTGGCATGCGCCAGTGAGGAGCAGCATTGTGGTCAGTAAAGGAATGAAGCCTATAGAGATTCATTAGTGAAATGAAGGTCCAGTGTGGTGATGCATGCCTGTCAGTCAAGCAACTGTTTGAGCAGATTGGGAAGCTCCCCCCCCCCCCCATCTAACCCTCCCCATACAATATAAGCGTGGCTGCATTTGACAGATTTATTCTTTCCCTAACAAACTACTTATTCTGTGTTGTGCAGGAAGAAGAAAGGGCACGCAAAGAAGAGGATAAAGGAGGTATGAACATGTTTGTCACTGTTCTTCTGTGGTATAGACTGACTGACAGCTGAATGGATTAATAAATGGAATTGAGTTGATTGAAGAATGGGTGCACTTTGGTGTTTCGATAGTTTGAGGGGGGGGGGGGGGGGGGGTATTGGACATAAGACAGCATTTGCAGAATGAAAACTATTGGGTTTGTTAAGGAATATATTTAAATAATGTGGACACAAACAATAAATTGCAGTTTATTTCCTGACATATTTAGCTGTATCTCATCTTAAATCGTCGGCGTCTGTGTCTTAGGTGTTGTAAACTCACTTTGTAATGCTAGGGTGCCGAGTTCAATCCCAGCTGCGGATGATTTGTCTTGCACTTGTTTTAACATTGGTACCAAGAGCTGACCGTTCAACAAGCAGTGGCAAACTACTGAATATCAATTCTGCCTAGAAAAACCACAACAGCCAAAAAATGCTGGGGGTTGGTTCTGCAGCATCTTGTAAAGGATACACAACTTACTAACATCTTAAATCAGATTTAAATCACACATAGTGAAGCACAAAAATGAATCGTTTTCACCAAAATACACACACCACATTGTCAAGATGCATTGTACATCTATGTGACAGAAATTCAAAATTAGCCTCGTTATTGCCATGGCAATTTCATGAGATACAGCAAAACATGCCAGGTAATAAACTATGTTCAATAGACATTTTTGTGTCTTCTTCTTCTTTACGTCTTCTTTTACCGCTTCGGATGTTGGAAGAGATATAAGGTCCTGCTTCCTGCTCTTC